ACAAAAAAGAAGAATATCAAATAGGCTTCACAAAAGAACTCTCTCTTCTTGATTGGTGCTCTGAAGATTGATGAATCTAATTGGCTTGAAAGACTGTTCTTATGTAGCCTTGAAGATCCCAACTCGTTGTTGTCTAAGGAATAAGAGTTGTAATAGGAATAGAAGTCCACATGTTCTAAAACCCAACAAGAGTCCAAGTAGAAATAAACCTCTAATATGATTGGTTGTGCAAAGTCTAATGTAAGTAGGAATCTTGATCAAAATAAACCAAATTAAAAAGGAACTCCTAAAGAAATATGGATTTGAGTATTTGAGGCAACCACAGAGCATTCCAAGGAAAACGATATCGATACCAGTCCCATGCTGAGGGTACATACAAAAGAAACCATCATTGAGCATTAGGGGATATGACTTTTACAGAACAGAATAAGCTGCACTATAAGAACTATAATTAATGTAGTACAAAACTAGTTTCATACCTTCGTGCAGCAGAGAAACCCTAGTTTCAGAAGCCCCTTGTTCAGTCTTCAGGATAAAAAAGTAGCACCTCTTAGTACGTGTATGAGTTTCCTGTGTGACTTGAGAAGGTTATGCAGTCAAAAAGATTGAATACTCAGAGTTGGAATCATTTAACACAAAATTTCCAGGCCGTATGAAATTTATTTACGAAGTTGCAGGTCATGATAGTATAATCCAGTCTTCTAAGGTCTCCATTTAAGATACAGGGCATTTCACAAGAAAGAAGAAGAGATGAAATCAATCTGAATCCTCTTTCGCTTCATATGGACTAATAACGGACCTGCTAGCGTACTCCATCTCCATTATCTGCCAAATTCGGTATCAGGCTTCTTAATAAGTCTTTTCAGTAACCAAGAGCAGAAATTTGGCGCCATAAGTAACGGTTAACGTCATACAAAAAAATTTGATCAGATAGTTTTGTAGATCATTAAAATTTAGAACACTATTCGTTGAACCGAATGAGAATCTTAAAATCTAAACCATTTATCCCGACAAAAGACTAAACAGTTGGGTAAACGACAGATGAAAACTAAAACTCAAAAGTCTAAAACCATCCTTCTATTGTGAAACCTCACCCGGTACCGCATATGCCCTTGTGGTCCAAGTGGGAACTCTTTGGTGATGGTGAAGGCTTTTCATAGGTGAAAATATGACAAAAAGAATGTTATGAGCCAGAGTAACAGGATGAGGGTGTGTTGCTATCTAAAGATGTTCGGAAACGGTAGTTGCAGCTTCGTACTGGACCTGCGTTTAGAATAAAAGCCGATAAGATGTAGCTCTTGTGAGATCTTTTATGGATCATATATTTTGAATTTTCCAACTGCTCTAATTGGCGTATCTAATGTTTAAGTATGATGGTAATATCTGACGTGCAATAAGCGACATGAGTATTAGACCGTCAAGGAGCATGGGAGATCAATCAGAATCAGGACAATGACTGACACATGGCTCAGGGATATACCTTATCTTCATGTTGCATTGAAGGTTCAAATACTTGGAGAATCTGTGGCATAAATGTGCAGTGTAAGAATTATGTAATCCGTTATTATCTATTTCGAAAGTCTGGACTGGATTTGAAAATGAGAAGCGCTAAGGTTGAAATGGCATGACCAGGGAATGCATGATTCGATGATGCAGGCAACTTATCTTTTTAGGAGAATAGGCAGTTAAAATCTTAAGAATGAGGATATTCTAGAGATGGCTACAATAACAATAGAAGGTTAAAAGAAGCTTGTAGTTTGTTTATAGACAGTATTAGGTGATTTCATATCAAGTACACAAGAGCCCAAGCTTTTAGAAGAGAAGTACAAAATAGAAAATTCAAGAAAATCAATCTAGATGGAGTTTCCACGATGAAAATGGTTGCAGAAGAAAATATCACTGACCATTATAAGAGGACCTTTTACAGAGCAGAAAAAATTAATTGCAGAGAAGCACTAATGACAACATGTTATAAATCTACTGAAACAAGAAAAGAAAATGCAGTATAAAACAAAATCCACACCATTTTGCAGCAGGAAAGCTCTAGTATTGGAAACCCTTGTCGAAATTCCGGGATCAAAATGATATAAAATATCAAATGCCAGTGAAACCTGGCACTTCCTCGTACAGCCTATAAACTTGGATCAGCAGCGATCCATATACAAGTGTGAGTTGTCTATATGAGTTGAGAAGATCTACACAAAGGGTGAACACACAAAATCAATGACAACCCAAACGCAATTGACTCATTATTTTTTATTATTTATGATATATAGATTCCTGATTTTATTGACAAAGCACAAAATAATAATAATAATAATAATTACAACTTACAGTAGAAATTAAGTTATTGTTAGTACTGAATAATAACAAAAGCTTTCCATAATTTGATTTTTTTCAGACTTGCAATCAAACCTATAGAAATAGCGCAACAAAAACTCCCACCTGGTAACATCACAACAAGGGACTTCTCCCCTCATGGGGATATCCAATTATTTACTGGACTGCTCCCCTCATGAGACTGATATCCAAGTAATTATGCTACAAAAGAGCCATGGAAATGTTATCATTTATATCCGCTATACACAACTAACTCCATCTGGTTTGTCAACATAGAAAACACTACAGGACAAATCATACATGCTCCTGCCTAAAACTACCAATAGAAATTCAGGAAATAAATGAGACTGATGTAATAGTTAATGAAATATAGCCAACGCAAATTGGGCATAGAGAAAGAGCAACAAAAACTAAGGAGTCAAGAAAAAAAAAGGAAAATGTATAAGTTCAGCCAATAAAACATGACAATAAAGTGCAAGGTATCTACAAATACACACACAATATACACATGCCTAATATACCTATTGTGAACGAAGTGGGATGTGGGGGCCACCATGAAGCAAACCACGTTCTCAACGAACGCGTGAAGAGATCACCCGATAGTCTAGCGGTTTTATTTTTTGAGATGGCCCACCCGATAGTCTATTGAAGCTATAAATATTGTTTTTATAGCTTAACCTAGGTTGGGGGTGTAAAGAGGGCGTGCATGCAGAAGGAAAAGTCGGCTGAAGTTTTTTTTTCGGCTGAAGAAGAGAAATTGGCAGAGGCTTCTCGACGAGTTTTTTGGCGGCATCCTTTTGAGAGAGATATTTGTGTGAGGGATTTGAGAGATTGTTTGAGGGTTTAGGTTGTGTGATTGTAAACCCTATTTGTATTCTCTCACTCTAATAGTAGACCCCCCCCTCTCCTTGCCCCGTGGACGTAGACAATTTGTCGAACAACGTAAAACTTGTGTGATTTGCTATTTGTAACAATTGTAATAGTTTATTAGGTTCCCTCGACAGGTCAGTCCTAGAACTGATGAGAGGAAGAGATGATATCTCACTTTGTTGAGATATTCGCTTCATATTCTTATTTCCTTGGTGAGACGAAAATTATTATTACGATCTTTCTCTCTTATTATGTACCAAAAACTCTGCCGAAATTTTCGCTGCGCACAACAAGTGGTATCAGAGCCCAGATTCAGATCTAAGATTTTCTGTTTTGGTTAAAGGAGTAGATCAATTTGAAAACTCGTCTAAGGCTTTGTTTGGTGATAAAGGTGAGATCTTTTGGTAAAGACTCTATCTTTTTAGTTTTGGATCTATTTTTCGTTCGTTGGTGCGTTAAGAAAGATGTTGGGGGAAAGAAGGTGCTTCGTGTGGTGTTTCTGGCGTGAAGACCATTCAGAATTTGAATATCTACTCTATGAAGATAGATGTGAAAAAATTTAATGGCACAAACAACTTTGGATTATAGAGATGTGAGGTTTTGGATACGCTGAACACTAAAAATTTAGAGAATACCTTAAAGTTATATGGCAAGCCAAATGATATTGAAGAGAAGGTTTGGAAGAAGATGAATCGAACGGCGTGTGGTGTGATTAGGTCTTGTTTGACTCGAGATCTAAAATATGATGTGATGAATGAGACTTCTGCGAAGAAGATTTGGGAGATTCTCGAAAGCAAGTATCTGACAAAGAGTGTTGAGAACAGTTTGTATTTAAAGAGGAGACTTTATCATTTTCAGTTGAAGAAGGGAACCTCAATTAGCGATCACATGAACACCTACACAAAACTTCTTGCGGATTTGACGAATGTGGATGTCATGATTGAAGATAAGGACAAGGCGTTGCTATTATTGAGTTCCTTGACCGACGAGGAATATGAGACATTCGTTCTTACTCTGATTAATGGGAAGACATCTCTTTCGTATAGTGAGGTGACTGCTTTACTTGTGAATTATCAGCTTCGAAAGAAGGATAAGGAGGCTTCAGTTGAGCCAGTAGCAGAGGCGTTGGCCGCAAGAGGGAAGGGTCCAAATCGGAAGAATTAGATGTCACAGTCTAGAGTAAGACATCCTACAATTGGAAAAGATCAGTATGTTTGGTGCAAGAAGACTGGTCATTGGAAGAAAGACTGCCCAAAGCTCAACGAATGGATGGAGAATAAGCAGAAGGAAAAATGAAAGCAACAATTATCAGAAGCAAACATTGTTATATCGGATGGTAATATTTCTGAATTTTCTATTTATTCGCTTTCTATCAGTCCTACAGATAGCTATTCGAAGGAATCTGAATGGAGGTTGGATAGTGGTGTGACCTATCATGTGTGCCCTAGAAGGAAATGGTTCTTCAGTTTTAAGAAGCTGGATAGTGGTATGGTGTACGTGGCTGATAACCGTGCATGCCAAATCCTTGGGATAGGAAGAATTCGCATCAAGATGTTTGACGAGGCTGTTAGGGAGTTATATGATGTGAGATATGTACCTTCATTGAGGAATGACTTGATCTCGATTGGAGCTTTGATTGAAGAGGGTCTGAATGTTCGAATTGAGGATATGGTTATCAAGATTGTGGTAGACTCTGAGATTGTAATGAAAACTGGAATGACAAAGCCCTTCATTACAATCACGTGATTGGACAAGTTCAAGGGTGTTTTCTGTAATTAAACCATAAAGGTCCCGACCTTTTCCTCGCAAGACGCTTCAATCCCTCCATCGAGCGAGAGAAGCCCCATGGCGAGAAGCATCGCCTACGTCTCCCCTTCTCAACTGATCTCCATCAACCGATCCACAAGGGTAGCCATCGTCGACGTCAGGTGATTGAAAATTTCTCCAAAAACCCCAATTCCCCCCTTAATCCAATTTCTTCGCAATTATTTCGACAATTTCTTCCCCAATCCGTGAAGGGACGATGAGAGGAGCTACGATGCGCACATCGCCGGCTCTCATCACTTCGCCAGCGACTCGTTCTCGAAGAGGATGCCCGAGCTCTTGGAAGCAGTCAAGGGCAAAGACACCCTCGTCTTCCATTGCGCCCTCAGCCAGGTCAATTTCTTTCCCCCAATTTTTCTGCTATGATTTTTTTATAAAAAAATCTGGGTTTCATTTCTTTATCGTTTTAATCATGTGTTATTAGATTGGATTTGTTTCAGTTGGATTGGAAATAAGGGTTTTTTTGGGTAGTTGTGAGATTTAATGGGAGATGATTCCCCGTGATTGTTTGCTTTTATTATTATTATTATTATTATTATTTTTCCAATGATATATTGAATCTGCTGGTTATCTGCTTGCGTTGAGGATTGGCGATCAAACTATTGAATTTTGATTGTCTGTGGATGGGAGACATAACAATTAACAAATATGTTTATTTATTTGGGTTCTGGCATCTCAATTGGACTAATGAGCCATATGTTATGGGTTTGGCTTGATTCTTTTTTCTGGATGAAATGAAACATTCAATTTATGTAATAAAAAGTGGAGATATTTTTCTCATTACTTAGCCGTGAACAAGAAATTAAGTGGCGTGTGATTGGCCGGTTATGAATGATACGAACTACCTTAACTGGAATTCTCAAACGGCGAACAACCGATAATAACCACAAATAATTTCCCCTTCCTCGTGTAATCAGTAGAAACTATGTAGAAGTAAGATATTAAATGTAAGCTACTTATGAATCGAGTACCATACAATAGTGTGTTAAAACCTCACACCCATAGTTCATTTGTTGCCGGTTGAGTCGCAGGTAAATCATGCAGATTTATTTAAAATTTTGTTTAGGTAGCTTATGCTTACCTTTTATCACACACACGTATATGTATGTATGTATGTATGTATGTATGTATGTACGTACGGACGGACGTACGGACGTACGTACGGAGAGAGGAAACCGGAGAAGCACTGGCCAGTGCTTCTCCCCGTGATTTGCGTATGTATGTATGTATGTATGTATGTAGAGAGAGAGGAAACTGGAGAAGCACTAGCCAATGCTTCTCCCCGTGAGCTGCATTATAGCTGGCTTATTGTGATTCATCCAGGCGGGTTGATTTGAAAAAAACTATGCCATTTTATAATGAGCCCCTCAATCCCCCCTCCAAGACCCTTCAAATCAACCCCGTGACCTCTCAGGACCCCAAAACGAAGGCTCCCCAAAATCTTGATCTCTCTCTCCCCCCTCTAAGACCCTTCCTCCTCCGCAAGCCAACTCTGACGCTGCAGGTAAAATCTGATCTCTCTCTCTTGATGTATCTCTCTCCAGCTATCCTGCTCTCGATCTCTCTTTCGATACCCCTCAAATACAACCGAAGCCCTTCCCTCTTTGAGTTACCTCCTCCGCTGTCTCCCCCTCGCATTCGTTATGCTGCTCTAATCGTTAAAGTTCATCCCCCCTCTAACCCAACCCCCCCTCTCTCTCTAAGTGTATTATGCCTAACTAATAAGTTATCATTTCAAATTCATTCAAATTAACTATTTTAATTAATTATTGAATTATCCCCTATAGTTAATTGCTAATTTGTCTCTTCATGTGTCCTTATCTCAATTATATTAAGGTTGAAGTTTGATTCTTCAACGAGGAGAGAGAAAAGCACAAAATCCCCATGTCGCATAACTTCCATGAAAATTTTCAGGATTTTATTCTCGCACTTGATGTGATGACTTCCCTCTTTTATTTCTCTTATTACTTTTATATCTGGTCAGGTCCTTTGTTTGATCTCCATTTTTCTATTTTTTCCTTCAATTGATAACTGAATGATCTGGAAAAGATTTGCTGGTATTCTTACTCATTGAATTATTTTTTCTTAAGTTTCATTTTCTTACCAAATTCTTTTAGCACTTTCAGCTGTCTATATGCTCAAATCCTGGCTCATCATTGAAGCATGAATGTTGCATAGAACAATTTTATTGAGTAACATGACTGCAACACTAATTTAGTAATTTCATACTTTACATTATTTTGTTAATGTTAATCACTTATTTTTAGTTTACATCGAGCTCATTCATATGCTTTCTAGGTTGATTATAAACAAAGGCGTATACATTAATTCTTACTAATATATCCCATGATTAAGAATGGTGTGATGATATTTAACATCCACGGGTATATGTCTCTCTCCAGAATGTGGTACTCTTTATTTATGCGATTAGTGTTTTTCTTTATGCCAAATGGGAGTTAAATGTGATTAGCTTTATTAATTTCAGTTTCCCTCTTTCCTACAGAACAAGCATAGGAATGGGAGAGTTCGAAATGAGGAAAATTTATTAATTTCAGTTTCCCTCTTTCCTACAGAACAAGCATAGGAATGGGAGAGTTCGAAATGAGGAAAATAAATTCAACTAGTGTAGAGTTCGAAATACAGAACAAGCATAGGAATGGGAGAGTTCGAAATGAGGAAAATAAATTCAACTAGTGTAGAGTTCGAAATAGGAGATTAATGTGCTATTGAAAGTGAAATTACGGCCAATACTGAAAATGCTCCTAAACCACTACTAACAACTAAGAATGAAGTTTAATACTTATGAAGAAGCTTATAACTATTATAATTCTTATGCATTATTGACGGGTTTTGGAATAAGGAAGAGCACGGTAAATTACTCTCGCAAGATTAGAGACATGCTAGACAGAAAGTTTGTTTGTGATAAAGAGGGCTATAGATCTAATAGAGCCAAGATAGAGATACATTTTCGGCGAGAGACCCAAGTAGGATGTAAGACAATGATGCGAGTTAAATTATTGGAGGACAAATCATGGGAGGTCATGGGGTTTGTTGAAGAATATTCAAATCATGTGTTGAGTAGTCCATACAAAGCAAAAATGCACAGATCACATCAACAATTCTATAAACTCAAAGATGTAAAAAACTTATTGAGAGTCTGCGAGAAGAATGTATGCTTCCTTCCACTATTTCTCGCGTCCTTAATGTAACCAATGAAAGAGAAGGTAAATTAGTGACAGCATAACAGTATATTGATCATATCAGAACCCAAAGACACAATAATATTGGCCATGAATGCATATCTATCGTTCGACATTGGCAAAGTAAGACAGCGAATGATCGAGAATTTTATTTTGCAATAAAAGTAGACAGTAGTGGATAAACGAGGAGTGTTTTCTAGGCTGATAGAAGATCTAGAGCATTTTATTTGCAATTCAGTGATGTTGTGTTTGACGTGACATACAGAACTAATAAGTTTAGTCTTCTATTTGTTCCATTTACTGGTATGAATCACCATAGGCAGTCCACTTTACTTTGTTGTGCATTATTAGCCAATGAATAGGAAGATATTTTTTTGTGGTTATTTCAAGAATGACTAAAATGCATGCATGGGGTTGAACCAGGAGCATCTCACTAACTCATGAGCATTACAATGACTGCTCTAATTCACCCTTCATTGGATTAGAGAAGGAAGCAATATTGGGCGAAGAAGAAGAGGAAACAGAGAAAAGATATGACGAAGATATTTCTCCTTTTCTTGAAAAAGAGAAGACGAAATTGTTTTGCTATATAATTGCATGTGTATGTGTATGTTTGAAATTATATGACTTTTAAGGAATTAGTATGTGTATGTTTGAAATTCTAGCTCACCGGCTGGTGCACATCAAATACAGGTTTTGTTATATGGATTACAATCATAACAAGTTAGAGAACTAAGAAAGTAACATGCATCTCATAATATATGAACTGTCATTGATATGGTAAATAAGCATTCATCTGATATGTGCACATATTACTCTTAGTCCTACCAATGGTTGATAATAGACTAAGATCTCTGTCATATCCAGTAAATTTTTCAAAAACCTCGTCGTTCTCACTGGAGGAAGAAGGCAAGTAATCAAACTGCTCTCATGTGTTTACAAAAAACTTTCAACTCTGCTTCAATTGATTCCTCAAAAGGTGGTTGTTTACAAAATTCCTAACTCCAGACTCTGTACTTTAACATTTGATCACGTTACATTGTTCCACATATCAAGCGATTACTAAAAAAAGTAGCCTGGTTATTTACACCACCAACAACAAAAAGATGACATGCAGCAAACCACATAATCCTCTCAGGCACAAGCCTATTCATTCAGACAACTAACATTTCAGAAACTGAAGCCAATAAATTATATCACATAGTATTGTAATCACTTACAAACCTAGTTGAGAAACATACAACACATACCAACTAACAAATCACATCACATGCTTTTTACAATGGAGAAGGCGAGAAGCCAACAAATACTGCAACAATACATACTACAAACACTAATATTATAAAGACTGAACCTAATGCAAAAGCATAGATGGGGGAAATAGCAGTTTCCCTAAGTTTTTCCTTATCCTCATCCAGATTATGTCCCTCTGGAAATATTTGTTGTTGAAATTGAACTGGTGTCTGGACATGCCTTGAGCTGGATGCTGAATCACGAGCGATGGTGTGCTTCTCCCATTCAATCAAAGCCTCTCCGTACGTTACATACCATTTGTAGGAGGCATTTGGGAATTTATCAACTTGAGATTTACATTCCTCCCAATTATCAAAAATGCCACATCGTCGACCTCTCTTCACAATATAAAAACTCTTTCTTGTCATGGATAACCTAAAAATTTGTGCTTTAAAAAGAAATTATCAATAGATTATAAAACATTCATGCATGCAAAATCCATTGTATCACCACTAATACATATCTGCTATCCACATTATAATACACTTTGTATAATCAAATGCAAGAAGTTTGTGTGAAATAACAAATATTTCAAACCTTGATTCAGGTTCTAAAATAGCAAATAAGCTAAATTAGATGCAGGGATCATAATCGAAAAACATATATGAATATTATACTAACACTATAAGCATAAGAAATTTAATTTGATACTTACCTCATTCTCCGAAGAGCTAAGAAAAGGCCTCAAATCCAATTGTAACGGGTACTCCACAAATTTATCAATCTTGTAAATGCCAAAAGAACAAACCTTGAATCTCTTAAAGTTAATACTAAGAACTTGAGGAGCTTCAAACAATTTGATTTGCTTCTCAACAAATACTTTATCTTGGCACACTTCAC